AATTAATTACAGTCTCATCCTTTTTTTTTGGGGATTTTCAAAAATGAACCTTCTTTTCAGAAGTTCATACACAATGATTATTTGAAAACGTGGAGTTGTATCGATTGGTGAATCGAGAAAATGATCAAAACAACTATTTCTGAAAAAATCTTCCAAATTATTTTTATTGAGGATATCCTTGAATTTGATGAAAGGTTTTCCTAGGACTGACCTAATAATGCTATCACCATTAGCATTAGGCTGCAGATGTACAAGAAAAGTGTCTGCATTGATGATTTTAATTCCATCATCACCAGTAGCTTTGAAAACTTCATGAAGTTCTTGTTCTTCTTCAACTTCATTTATTTTTTCTTCTTGTGCCTCAACTACTTCTCTATTAACTACTTCTATATTTTTCCCTTGTTCTTCCTCAACTTCATTTATTTTTTCTTCTTGAGACTCAACTACTTCTCTATTAACTACTTCTATAGCTTTTCCTTGTTCTTCCTCAACGTCTTTTTGTTTTTCCTCTTCTTCCTCCACTACTTCTCTTTCTTCATATTCTTTTTGACAAAATTCTAGTTTTACTTGAGAAGAACAAACTGCTTCAGATGCAAGATCTTCTAAAAGAATGGTATTTCCATTCCTCTTCCTATCAATTTTAGACCTAGCCTTCTTCTGGATCTTTGTTGTGTCAGATGTATCAAGTTTTCTTTTGACAGGAGCCTTTATATTTGTATCTGCAACCACAAAAATAAAATATTTGAATGTCACGCATGAGCTACAAACAAACAAATAAATCACAAAATCCTCCCTAAACAATATAACGTACTACAATGAAGTTTTTTGAAATAAAAAAATATTTCAAAAAATAACAACTATAGTTACAACCAAAAAAGTGATAAAATCACTCAAAACAGGGCAAGCAAGTAAGCAGATAAGCACATGCATTTCAAATCCTAATTAAATATTACCTGAAAGATATATCAACGATAAATTAGAAATAATGAGGACAACAACGCCTTGCTATAGAAGAGGATCACAACAGATTACCACTAATGTTTTAGAAAATATCACAAGAACAATGATCTATGAAGGAAGGAATAATTGAAGAGAAACAATAGAAAAGAAAACTAAAATTAGTAAAAATAAATAAAATTTGGAATATGAAACGACTTTTATAGAAGAGAGGAGAGAGGAGAGAGAGAGAGATGGAGGAGGGAAAATAAAAATGGAAATTAAAGTCATTTTAATTTTTTTTTTTGAAATATGACAATTCAAACTATGACATATGTTGCCACATATATACTTTCTGTTGGGGGACATATGTTATATATATAATATAATGTTGCCACATATTTCATTTATGTGACATATCTTACCACATATTTTTTTCTGTGTTATATGTTGCCACACGATCCCTTTCTGTTGGTACACATGCAGACAAGCGATGATTAATATTATTAGCAAAAAATTGAAATTACTTTTATAGGAGAGAGGAGAGAGGAAAAATGAAGGGACGATTATATTAAAGCCGTTTAATTGTTTTTTTTTAATTTTGACAATTCAAACAGTGACATATGTCGCCACATATATACGTTCTGTTGCGTCACGTACCACCTTTTATGTGACATATTATATAGTATAATGTTGCCACATATATCCTTTCTGTGACACATTTTATCAGTATCACCTTTCTGTGAAATATGTTGTCACGTGTATTCTTTTTGTTTGTACACATGTAGATAATTATATTAGTACTTCACTAATTATTTTATACAACTTATCAACAAAAGGTATTTTACAATGATATACATAATCACCTATCTAATCAATGGTGGTAATCGCAACATTTTCATCGATCTTTGCCTTTTTCGGTCTAGGCCTCTGTGGATATGCATTGTCACTAACATAGCCATTCCGAGCCTTCAAAATTCCATAATTCCATAGGAGTGAAACATATCTCACAGAAGGGTGTCAGCACTAACTCTACAAGATGGTACTTCTAATCCATCACTCAAAAACTCAGCGTATGCAACAACAAAAAGTCCATAATCTATGCATGGTATATCATCAATCAGAAAATATAATAACATCACATTTTTCGATAGTCGTAAGACAAAAAAATAATGTGATACTTACAGACTACTGCTTTCTTATTGGGCAATACCGGTAGCATGTCTGACTTCAAATGAGTGAAATTTGTTCTTTCCTTGGTAACATTCAAGAACTGGCCAGTTGGTTCGCTCTTTTTGCTCAAAAAATCCACTTAACTCAAAGTACTTTGGCAACATTGTAGACAACTTTTGAAGCTCGAGGACAATTTTCTATTAGACCTAGATTAAGACAATCATACACATTTATGCACTGTTCCTTCAATGCAACGACTGTCAAGACCCAATGGAATTCCCCATTACTATTTACAGGGACATAAACATCATCTGTCAAGTGCCAAGGCAGTCCACAAGGTATAGCAAACCCTTTCATGATGCCAACGATTTTATCCTCATATACAGGAACAACATTAGCATTGTCAATGTATGTTTTCAGAAAATAACTAGTGGTGGTATATCGATATTTAGAATGACTCTGTTGTTGCTTCGACTTCTTACGCAAATAGTAAAAAATGACATCCACATACTGCACAGATGCACCAAACAAGTGTATCTCTGTATAAATTTATTTGTATATATTCATGTATTAATCAAACATAAAAGTGGACATGGATTTGCCTCATCAATCCAACACTTATTGGGTTGAGACATTACGTAGAACCAATCTTTATTCTTTGGAAATGCAACTACAAAATCAAGTTTTGAGAAATTGGTTAAGTAGTGATCTTTCTTGTCTCTTCTACAATTGTGTAATCATTATAAATAATTATTTTAGTGGACAACAAGAAGAAATACTAATAATAGTTGAACGACCTTACTTTTTTGCATGATCCTTGTAAAGACCCTCGTTTATCCATTGCGAGAAGGATGACATTATTTCGGCTGGACCCTCGCCGTCAGTGTTAAAACCTTCAAATGGATATTGTCGCTTCACATCACAAATGACGACTTCGACTTTCTTCTCTTTGTTTATTGCTTTCGCTTTTTTTTCCTGCTTCTCCTTCTTTTTTGCTTCTCCTTCTTCTTATTATCCTCCTTTTCCTGCTTCATCTTCTCCTTCTCCTCCTTTTCCTTCTTCTTCATCTTCTCCTTCTCCTCCTTCCCCGCCTTTTCTTTCTTCTCCTTCTCTTTCTTCTCACTAATTGTAGAAAGTGTTTGGGAAATAGTTTTTTTCAACAACCTACACTTCATAGGCTGTGAGTTCTTCTTAAATATTTGAATATTAATATTATGAGATATTTTCTTAAAAATATCAGTGAGTTTTTTAATACAACTAATAAAATAATCACGTTGCTACTCACATTCTTCGCATAGACAAAAAGAGCATTTGATGTTAGAAGAAGAGCAAGACCAATAAAAGATTGATTTGTTGTCATGGATAAAGCTTCTTGTATCATTTCATCTACAAGACAAATTAAAAAAATTGAGACTTTTCAATTCATTATAAATAATATTAACATTATGTTGCCATAGATGGATAGTCTGTTGCCATAAATTAACATTATGATGCCACATATATATCTACTGTTGCCACACATGAATCATATGTTGCCACACATGAATCATATGTTGACACATATGAATCTTATATTGCCACAAATGAATTTTATGTTGCCACAGATGAATTCTAAGTTGACACAGATGAATCTTATATTAACACAAATGAATCCTAAGTTGCCATAGATGATTCTTATGTTGCCACAGATGAATTCTAAGTTGCCAGAGATGAATTCTAAGTTGCCACAGATGAATCTTATGTTGCCACATATGACCATTTTGTTGCCCTAACGCATAAGTGAGATGTTGCAACATATGATGAATGTTGGAATATGCACCAACATATCACTAAAATGTGGCAATATATGATACATCTTTCAACAAATGAAATATATATTGGACAACCCAACAAGACTGTATTTCTAAAATCATGTCAATAAAATGGCCACAAAAAGAATAAGAAAAGCAATAAAAAATCGACTTTTCACTAAAATGTTAACAATATATATACATTTTCTCAAAATTAGGGGTTTTTGGGGTTGGTTGATTGTCTTTCAAAAACAATAAGTAATAGGCACCATTACATCATTCTTCTATTTTTACATCTATAGAACGTTTTATCGTTCATTAATTCAAGAAAAGAACTTCAAAAATTGTAAAATCTTTCAAAACAATAACTTGCCCTTTTTAAGACGAACACGATTTTAGTTCAAAAAGAGGATAGAGTAACGACTGCAGATGAGGAGGAAAATAACGAAGATAGAGATAGTCGGAGAGGAAGATAGTGGAGGAGAGATAGTCGGATTTTCAGATTTATTAAGGAAAAAGAAGAAAAACATTTCTGAGAGAGAAGAGAGAGAATGCTGGGAGAAGAAGATGAAAATATTTTTTATAAAATGATTTGAATAGAATTATAAAAGTTCAAAAAATGAAGTGCTTTTTATATTCTATAAAAGAATAGAAAGATTTAGAAATGTTAATTTGGTCTCATTTTTATTTAATTACATCTTAAAGAGAATTTGACCCGCTATTGATTAATCTGTCATCAAAAACAATACTAAAACTTATTTGACACCTTTGGTTAATTTTCTCATTTTTTTACATTGATTTCATTCAAAAGATCTTTTTTGAAAAACTTTCAACCAACAAAATTTTATTTTGAATGAATTGGGGAAGATAGTATATTTAAAGAGGAAATAATTAAATAATAAAAAAAAGACTGATACATGAACTATTTTTATTCGTTTATGGAAGCAAAATTTTCTATCCGTGCGCTGGCATTTACGTGAAAACATAAGTGAATATAAACATTAAACTATTTTTAAAAAAAATTCAAAATAGCTAAGATATTACTTTTATATACCTCTTCTCTAATGCGAAATAAAATGATACATAATACATGAAATATTTCTGTCGTAATACACCTAAGTGAGACTATCCTAAGTGAAGTAATTTGGTGCATCGCAAAAACGCTCTTTCAAATTCCGACAAATTCATCTTTTTACTCTCTTGCCCCTCCTTCCCTCCCTCCCTCTTCTTCCAAAATCCAACAGTGTTTCACTCACTCTTCCAATTTCCGGCTGAAACTGGTGTACTGTAGGAAGTAAAGTAAGCTCGTATGCCTGTAGAACTGTATACCCTCATGCCAAGTTCCCCCAAAACAGCTACCAACAAAGTTTCTCCTCTGATTTTTGCTGTTTGGTGAGTGAGTTTATCTGTCCGTGCAACTAACTACTGTAAAAATCTGACCTTTTTCATGGGTATTTAAAAGTTAGTGTTTTATACATGGAAACCCATGTTTGTTTTTTACTCTAAACCCCAGAAACCTGAAATTTTGTGTACTTAGGGTTTGAGATTTTTAGTGGAATCTCTTTTTAGAGCTGTTTTTGGGGATTTAAGAATGGATGGAAGGAGGATAACTGCTAGTCCTCGCCCATGTTGTGGGAGGAGGGTGGTAGCAAAGAAGCGCCCACGCGGTGGAATGGATGGGTTCGTTAACAGTGTTAAGAAGCTTCAACGGAGAGAGATTGGTTCCAAGAGAGACCGTTCTTTCAGTATGAGCGATGCCCAAGAGCGTTTTCGGAATATACACTTACAGGTTTATTGGATCTTCTGCTCAATATTGTCTTCTTAATTGTTCTTAGTTGAGCTCCTATGTTCATGAGTTGAGGTTGAAAATGCCTAGTTGGAATGGACTTCTTTTGGGGTTTTGGGGGTGGGGTGGTGTTATTGATTTTAAGCTGGTGGGGCTGAATCCAATGATTACAAGATAAACAATGAGGCAAGTGGGAGAAATTAAACTATTCTCCTTGAGTTAAATGAGGCAAGCGGGAGACCTTAGACAATTCTCCTAAAGTTCAATGGAGCACATTTTCATTAACCCATAAAGAGGATCACATATACCTATATTATAAGTATCTAGAGACAAAAAAAAAAATTAGAACTGATCAAAAGATTGTTTCAGACAATGAAAGGAAAACCAGACACGAAGCTTAGATCATGAATCAACTTAGAGAAAAATCGAGCGTTCTGATTTGCCGCTGCTTGAGTTTATGACCTAAAATAAGGTTGCAGGATCTTTCTAAGGGTGGCCTAAAACACATATGCCAATACCTAATTTAATTTTTGTAACCTCTGTTTGGATGCTTCGTATGAAAAATAACTCTCTATTTCCTTATAAGAGATACATGATGAAAGTAGTTTTTGTGTCTTAGCTTGCTGGTCAAGGGCGGAACTAGGTAGAGGGAAGGGGGTTTAACTTAATACCCTTTGTTGAAAATTTACGTTGCCCAGTCTATTATGTTTTAGCAATATCATTGTGTAAATAGGTAAACAATAATCTTATTTTTTTGTTGGTTGTATTAAAATGTTGAATCCCCTTGAGTAAGGGAGAATTCTAGTGAAGCGGCAAAGGATAAATTCCTTTTGGTCATATGTTCAAATTCTGGTGTGAAATTCTAATTATTTTTTGCATAAATATTTACCTCTGCCACTTTTCTGCTGGTAGTACGGAATTGTTGTTAGAGATTTGGACATGAACAGTATGCTCATCCAGAGGTTGTTGCTGAAGGTTTATTGTGAAAACAGAGTAAAGAAGTGGAGAAGCTGTTTATTGTTTTTGTTCAGAAAGTGTGATGCGTGTTGTACAATTTTATTGGTGTAGAAGGGGAAAATACTTGGCGCTAGTAAAGTTGGGGCTCTGGTTTGGTATAATGGAAGCACAATGTTGATAGACATTGTTGAATTGTATGTTTACAGATCCAGGTGTTTTAATTAGATTTACTTTTAGTGTCTTTTCTTCTGCTCATCTTGGTGATTTCTATAGCTTAGGCTTCATTTAACAGAGTTCTTTATTGTAAAAACAGAAAAACTATTATATCTTAGTTGTATACAAGAGGTGCTCATTCTCAACAATGAAATTTGTGCTAGAGCTAACTAACTAAGTACATAATAAGGAAGGATGAGCTGAAGATTTTAACATGAGAGTAGTCTCAATTTCCCCCAAATTTGTCCATGGATTCAGGGCAAAGTATCCTATATCCTCATTGGAGAGAAGAAACATGGTGTTAGATGCAATATTAGTTGTACATGTTTGTGACTGCTGTAATATGTATCATGTTAAATGTGAGTGCAAATTATCATATTTCTTATTGAAATAGAATAGAAGCATGAAGTCTTCTGTTTTTACTGTCAATGCCTTCCTCTCTAAATAAGCATAGTCTAAACAGAAATGATAATGTTACATAATGTAAACTGTAATTCAAGAAGGTTTAGGAAGTATAAGGGGAAGGGAAATCAAAATTTGACGCAGACGTTAATCCAAACTCCATTCTTGAAGTTGCTATCTAAAAGTCACTATTTGGACTGTCTAGTCATTTAGGAATTAAAGTATCATTAGAATCACCTCTTCTTAATGAGTCAATCTTGAAAACCCTCCACCAGAGCTTGACTAACTACTAAATTTGATTTCTTTCATGTCTCTTCTTCAACTTTTTCCTGTTAAAGGATAATGAAACAACAATCAGAATCCGGTGTGATTCTTCTCTTCCTTTCTTCTTCACCTTTTGTTTCTTTGTTCTTAACTCTATGCTCATTCATCCATGCCTACACTCTTATCTCATTTCGTCCAGCATCTTCCCTTGCAAATTAGCCTCATACTCCACTTTTTCCTGATTCCCCTTATTATGTTCAAATGTAGTTTCCTTAATTGCGTGTTTGTTAGAATCTTCAGTCTGAAGTTTAACAGTGAAGTTTAACAGTGTTGCATTATTATGACTAACATGCAATATAAAACTTCTTTGCAGAAATTATATATGCTAGTCCCTTTGTTTCATTTATTATTGTGGTTTTTAACTGAACATCACCCTCCTTGTGGTTTTTTGCTGAGCATCATCCTCCTTGTCGTTTTTAACTGAGCATCACCCTCCTTAAATTCCACTTGTGGGATTATAACAGATTTGATGTTGTTGTTGTGTTTAACTTAGCATTGAGTTTAAAGAAAGGCATTGGATATTGTTTTGATGTGTCCTCAATTATTTAGTTCCTTGAGATGGCATCTTATCTTTCTGTGATTTAGCATGGAGTAATTGTGGGTTGCCTGAATATCAAAAACTAAAATATCCCTAGTTGAATTAGTTGTTCATTATTTTAGAATGCTGCCCTCACCTAGCATGTTTTTCTATCGAGTAATGACTGTTTTTATATGTGGTTCATAGGAGGAATATGATACCCATGATCCAAAAGGTCATTGTGCGATGGTACTTCCATTTCTTAAGAAAAGGTCAAAGATAATTGAGATAGTTGCTGCCCGCGATATTGTTTTTGCCCTTGCACAATCAGGTGTCTGTGCAGCATTTAGCCGAGGTAAAGAACAAAGATTAGTAATTCCCAATGTTACATTTCTTCTATGAGCACCTTTGTGATTGGAAGGGAATTGACACACATCATTGGTGGTACAGAATCAAACCGGAGGATATGCTTTCTGAATGTCAGTCCAGACGAAGTTATACGAAGCTTGTTTTACAATAAAAACAATGATTCATTAATCACTGTTTCAGTCTATGCTTCAGATAATTTCAGCTCCTTGAAATGCAGAACAACAAGGATTGAGTATGAAATTTTAATATTGTTGTTAAAAAAAAATTGTCCTTTGATCACATTCTGCTAATTATTTTTATCACTCCTAATACAATATATTTTTCAATGGTATTAGATACTTAAGAAGGGGTAAACCAGATGCTGGGTTTGCTCTATTTGAGTCCGAATCATTAAAATGGCCTGGTTTTGTGGAGTTTGATGATGTGAATGGAAAAGTTCTTACTTACTCTGCCCAGGATAGGTAAAATTTTGGCACTGAAGTCCTTCCTGTACGGCTGTACGATTTGATCAAGTTTTGTAATTTTGTTTGATGTACATATACCTTTGACAGCATATATAAGGTGTTTGACCTGAAGAATTATACGATGTTATACTCGATATCAGACAAGAATGTTCAAGAGATAAAAATCAGGTAACTTCATCACTTCTGCAAGCATGCATATGCATGCTCATTTTTGCCATGACTTGTTAGTGATATAACTATTGAGCATGGCAATGCTCCACGTAGTCTTGCGGTAGATGTCATTTACGGTATATGGAAGTGTGTTATTTACATTTGCTAGAGTTGCTAGCTCCATTTGTTCCTATGCTTTTGTAATTGTATTTTATTTGTTTTTTTTTTTAATGTTTTCCTGTTTTAGTGGTCTCTCTGATTCTTTTTGATGTGTCCTAATGTTGGTGACAGTTAGGTTTATCTCATCTACTACTATTATGGTTATGATTCTTTTGAGAGTCCTGTTAATTCTTGGAGACTGGGATGTACAATGCTCTTTTAAGTCTTGAGATCTGTAAGGTCGTGATTAAGTGAAAAGGATGGTTTCAATTGATGGAATAGTGTACTTATTGGCAGTTTGGTCTGTTGTGTTTATTCATATGCACTTCTCCAAAAATATGCTGTAGTTTGATTTCTTAAGAACTGGTTATCTTGACTTACAATTTCTGTTCTCTTCCTTTTCCAATTAGCAGTCCAGGAATCATGCTGCTAATATTTACCAAAGCTAGCGGCCATGTTCCTTTAAAGATTCTCTCCATTGAGGATGGCACTGTTCTCAAATCTTTCAACCATCTGCTTCACCGAAATAAGAAGGTAGATTTCATTGAACAGTTCAATGAAAAGCTTCTTGTCAAACAGGAGAATGAAAATCTTCAGATTCTTGATGTGAGTTACTATCACCTTTTCTATAATATCTTCTTATCTTTCTTTTTCGTTAAGTCTTATAGCTGTTGAATTTAATAGGTCCGCAATTCTGAGTTGACAGAAGTCAGCAGAGCCGAATTCATGACCCCATCAGCATTCATATTTCTGTACGAGAATCAGTTATTCTTAACGTTCAGAAATAGAACAGTAGCTGTTTGGAACTTCCGTGGGGAGCTTGTAACTTCATTTGAGGATCACTTGTTATGGCACCCTGACTGCAATACAAACAACATTTATATTACTAGTGATCAGGACCTTATTATTTCATATTGCAAAGCTGATTCTGATGATCCCTTATCAGAAGCAACTGGTACGTCAGTATGATAATTTAACAGTATTCTTGGTGTTTGAAAAGTATAATATACTTTTGGACGTGAGATTATATCATACTGCCTCCGGTCCCTATTAAATGGTGGTTCTTGCTTTTACATTTAGTCCAAAATAAATCTTCTTTTTACATAATTAAGAGGGTATTATCTTTTCCCCTTCCAACTTTGCCTTTATTTACATAAGCGAGTTTTTACAAAACCAAAAAACCTTAATAAATAGGTATAAATTTAAATAAGGGCAATTTAGTGAAAACACTTATACGTCTCGAAGGGGAACTTTGGGGGACATAAAGGGGACGAGTGGTGGAATGGGGAGGCTAAGTGGAAAACATGAAGGCTGCTTAAATGATGTTGGGGAGGGGGGGGGGGGCAAATATGATGATGAAAAGAGGATGCACATGGAGAGGTATAAAATTGTGAAGAAGGAAGCAAGAATGACGATTATGGTGACTAAGATGACTACATTTGGACACTTGTATGAAGAACTAGAGAACAAAGGTGGTGAAAAGAAGTTATATAGGCTCACAAAGGTGCTCGTGACCTAGACCAAGTGAGGTGCATTAATGACGAGGATGATAAAGTACTAGTGGAAGAGGCACACATTAAACGAAGATGACAAGCATACTACCATCAATTCTTAAATAATGAGGAGGCAATAATATTGTGCTTGGTGATATAGAACACTTTGAGCATCATCGAGATTTAGGGTATTGCAGGTGTTTTATGAGAGAGGGAAGAGAGACCGAGCCAAACGAGATCTTTGCGGAATTGTGGAAGAGTTCATGCAAAATGGGTTTGGAGTGGCTAATTGGGGTTTTCAATGTCATTTTCAAGACAATCAAAGTGCCTGAAGAATGATACAATATGTATAAGAATAAAGGCGTATGAGATTACGACAACTATAGGAGTATCAAACTACTATGTCATGAATGTTCGGGAAAGAATAGATGATGATAAAGAGGAACCCATGTATTTCTGAGAACTGATTTGGATTCATGTTTGGTTGATGAACAACATAAGTCATTTATCTTTTAAGGAGATAGTTGGAGCAATATAGAGAGGAAAAGTGACTTACATATGATGTTCATTAACTTAGAAAGGCATATGATGAAGTCTCGAGAGAGGTTTTATGGAGATGCTTGGAGTCTAGAGGTGTACATGTGGTATTCTATGTCGCTCGGACTCACCAAAAATGCTGTTGCACTAATGTCAAATCCTTTAAATATGCATTACTTTTGGGGATCTGACACATGTCAACATTTTTGAAGAACCTAAGCAACATTGGTGGTATACATTAGAGTGATTATGGACATCTACAATGGAGCCAAAATCAGAGTGAGTGTAGTTGGAGGAGACTCTTAACACTTATCAATCAAGATGGGTTGCCTTAGGGATCAACTCTTAGCTCGTTTTTATTTGCCTTCGAATGGATGAATTGACACAACATATTTCAGGCTAAAGTACCATGGCACATGTTATTTGCAGCCGACATTATATTGATCGACGAGACATGCGACTAAAACTTTGTAGATAGACCCTAGAGTCTTAAGGCTTCTGGCTGAGCAGGATTAAGTCGGAGTACATGGAATGCAAGTTTAGTAGCAAAGAGGAGGTGTGTGTGTGTGTGTGTGTGATGATTGATACATAGATCATCCCCGAGAGGAGCGGCTTCTTGTATCTTGAGTCTATAATCCAAGAAGCTGGAGATTGAGGAGGATGTTACACAATGTATTGGCGAAGTGTGGATGACATAGATGCATGCATTCAATGTTGTATGTGATAAGAATGTATCATCGAGACTTAAAGGTAAGGTCTAAATTGGTTGTTTGACTGACTATGTTGTACGAGTGGAGTGTTGGCTAATCAAGAACTTGCACCTTCAGAAGATGAAGGTAACAAAAGTGATGCTTAGATGAATGTGTGGGCATACTAGAAGAGACAAAATTAGGAACAAAGATATATGAGGCAAGGTGGGAGTAATCTCTGGGGTGGGCAAGATGCGGTAAGTGAAATTAAGATGGTTCGTACATGTAATAAGGAGGAGCACATATGCCCCAATGTGGAGGTGCGGGAGGTTGGTGGTGATAGGTTTGAGGGGAGGTAGCAGTAGAGTGAGGAAGAATTGGGGAGAGGTGAGACATGTCACGTTTTCAGCTCACCGAGGACATAATCTTAGTTTGGAAAGCATGGATGTCGAGAATTAGGGTAGACAATTAGTAGGTACTTGAATATTTTCTCTTCCAAGTGGTAGGGCTTTAGGCTGGAGCACCTATTTGTTCCCTTATGGCCTCATTATTATTATTATTATTATTATTATTATTATTATTATTATTATTATTATTTCGCTAGCATTACCTTGTTTTTTGATTCTATCACTTCTATTGTTTCTTCTACATTGGTTATATATACTATTTTTATTGTTAGTAGTTTTATTTTATTATTATTATTATTATTATTATTATTTCGCTAGCATTACCTTGTTTTTTGATTTTATCACTTCTATTGTTTCTTCTACATTGGTTATATATACTATTTTTATTGTTAGTAGTTTTATTTCTTCAATATTCTCGTCATAACTTTTTACTCTTGCATTTCTTTCAAACCATGTTTTGGAAAACAATTTTTTTGAGCCAAAGGTCTATCGGAATCGATCTCTCTACTGACAAAGTTAGGGGTAAGGTCTATGTGTACCCCACACTCTCCCAACCCCCAACTTGTGGGACTATTTGGATTTTTTGTTGTTGTACCTCTTACTTTCTGGGAGTGAAGTTTTGAAGGGGTGTGCTCAAGCCAAAAAATACCATATAAAATAGCATGGAGGGAGTAATAAATATGATTAGAGCTCCTTGTTAAAAAAAAAGAAGAAGAAAGGATTAGAGCTGGTATGCATTTTATATTTCTATTTGTTCTCTTAAAAATATTGCTTTCGCCCACATTGCTAAGCTTGGAGAAGCGAAGTAAATGATGTGGTCATTAGTCATTATCTGGATTGTTTGGGAGTAGGGTGACTCAGTAAGTTTTGATGCTTGTTTCATGGTTTTATTATTTTTGATGTTCTATTCTTGTTTATAGATCTCTGAACATGAGTGATCTGGTTTTACAGCGGGATCGATCAATATCAGCAACATTTTGACAGGCAAATGCCTCGCTAAAATAAAAGCAACCGAAAGACGTAGATCAGATGATTGCAGTTGCAGTACCAATTGTAACGGGCATGGTGGCAGAAGTTGCAACGCTAAGAAGCGTATCCAAGCTTCCAGAACTAGAAGCACAGTTGCAGAAGCCCTGGAAGATATCACCGCCCTTTTCTATGACGAAGAGCACAATGAGATCTATACTGGAAACAGTTTTGGGCTGATCCATGTATGGTCTAACTGAAGGTCGACTGAATCCCCGTTCTCTGAATATATCAAAAAGGTTACACATATTGAATGCCATTTCCTCTTCTGGCTCGCTCACTCGCTGTGTTCTTTTATTTTATTTTTACTGTTCCCCCGAGAAGGGGAGATGATTTGATTTGTGACATATATTTACTTCACAGTGCATGTCAGTTAATAATTTGGTTTACTCAGTGATATTTCTTTTGAACTAGACTGAGTTGATAATTTCTGGTCTTGGGACTTGGGAGTGTCTTTAACTTTAGCTGTCTACTGTGTCTTTAACGTACATTTGTGTAAAATTGAAAAGCAAACCATAATATAGATGTGATGATGAATTAATTGGAAGTCGTTATCGCAGTGTTAATAAAAGCAAAATATTACAACAAATATCATCAAGAATCTGGTATAGACAAGAGTGAAGAAGATATTGTATAGAATATGCTGTGGTTGGCCTGTAATTGTCACCATAAATAATTCACATATAGAAAATGATCTGGAATGTGTCTCAACATTCTAAGTCGAGAAAGATTATCATATATGATTTAACGGTTCCATACGGGTCATCTGCATTTTTGTCCCGATTACTTTTTCGGATTGAAGGGTACAAGTTTATATCTTCGCATCATAATATTGGAGTTTGATTTCTAAAGGAAAGAAATTGCAAACCGGGTAAAAATTAAAGACCATCTCAATTTTATTTGAAAGACAAAAATTAAAGATCAATTCAGTTGAAGGATAAATCGAGCAATATTTGCCTGTCTCCTTCCCTTTTATCTCAAAGGACTGTTATTTCTCTTTTTAACGTTTTTTAGTACAAATATTACTCTGATAAAATAAGAGAATCTAAGATAAGATTACACTATAATGGTCTGCTAGGACGAATACTCCAAGGTGCAATATTTTGCACGAGGTAAACGTTTTACCTATTTTTAACTTCTAACTAGGTAATCTTTATTATAATAAATTTGCAAAATTCAAGATACATGGAGACTAAATGAAACCAAATAGTACTCACTTGTTTATGTCACATATTTTTCCTTGTAGTTTAATCTGAAACATCTAATAATTACTCAAACAAAACCAGAGTATACATCTAATGAATGCTCATCTAATCCAGCACCTAATTTCCATATATATACAAAAAAACAAAAAAAAAACTAAAAGCCAAACGCTATAGATTACAATCATTATGGTATCTAGTATATCCTATAACCATCGAAGGATGTCATGTAATGAATGAGACTGTCCATTTCTTAATCAAAGGCCTTGAGTTTGAGTCATAGGTATGAAATTTTTTTGGTAGGAAGTGTTTTTTCTCGGAGCCCTACGTCTACGTGACACAAATTCAAATTAATTGAACTCTAATGCGGGTACCAGACATCAAATCAAAAGAAAGTAGTAGCACATCCTCTTTTGTTGTCCTGTCCACACCCAGGCCTCATAGTAAATGTGATTTTTACAAAGGTTGGCCTTTAAACCATTTCAAGCAATGTCAAAAAGCTATATGCATGGAACGTATTGCTTGCATTTACTCAATTAATGTATAATCCTATTTGTAGAAATTAATGTAAGTGATTTTTCTTTGTTTTCACCTTTTCTTTTAACATAACAAAATTAAGATTTACCCTTTCCACTGTTGGAAACAATTGCAAACTACTCAATCCTTTATATATAGTCAGTTAGTTACGGCCAAATTTTAAAATTAGAAAGCTAATGCCCATTCCAATTTCTATGACATTGTTTGATTTTTATAAATTTTTTTAAAAAAAGAAATTTTTTTGAAGTTTGTGTTCTAATAAAAGTCTTAAATATTTATATGAGTGTAAATTATATTTTTAAAAGAATAAACGAAAAATATTAAAGTTAAATTATGCAAATATGTCTTTTTTTGGACAAAGGTATCACGTAAATTGAAAAAAGACTCATTAGCAGGAAAGTACTAACAAAGAAGAAGAATCGGAGGAGAAAGCAACAATAAAAATTTAACAAATAATACTTTCTCCGTCCCAATTTAAATATCTTAATTTGAATAATAACGAGAGAGTTTCAAATTTCTTTTGTTTAAATGTTGAAATTGAAAAAATATATAAATATTTTTATTTAAAATAAAGTTCAAAAATAAAAAAGAATTAACACACTTGTATTAATACGAATGGAATAAAAGATAGATGACCGGTCGATAATTTTATACTAATCAAACTTTAAGTTTGAAAAAAAAAAACAAAATTAAAGAGAAAAAAAAAGAGTAGAGAAACATTACATGATTAGGCAATTATAAATACATCTAACATATTAATCAAAAGATTGTCCCCACTTGCACTGTCTACTTGGCTTTCTTTGTCTTTCATTCTGCTAATTAGGCAGCCTTTTTCCAAACGCAATCTCACAAAATACAGTGAAATTAATTTGGTGAAATTTGAATTTTGAAGTTTTCAAAAAATGAAATCTTGATTATAAATTAATTAATCATAATTATATCATAATAACACCCATTTTTATGACAATGATATACGTTTTGATTCTCTAAAATGCACATATTTTATTCTTCAAATATATATATATCTTCAACACACACTGTTTCTCAGCTTTGCCTTTAATTTTTTCTTTTATCTTCTCTCACACACTCAAAGTTGTGTGCTTTTTTAGCTTTTAGCTTTACACTCCACTGTGTTTGTCCACAATTTTAAAAAAAAAAAGGAAAAAGAGTGTCAGTTTTACATTTTAGCTTCAAATCCCACTTCAATCTTCATTATCTGTAAGTTATTCCACCTGCATTTTACACTTTTTAACAAACCCAGAAAGAGTATTACAAGTTGATGCATATAGATTTTTTTTTTTTTTTTGCTTTTGAAATTTGAGTTGTTGTAAGGGTGTGCATTGACTTGATGGAACATGGGGTTTGCTTGTCGGTGGTACTTTTTGCCCCAAGATTGAATCTTTTTAAATTTAGATCTAATTTTTCAATGTTGGTTGGTGGGGTCTTCATTGTTTTAGCTCAATTCTTGGTTTACTCACCTTTCACACTTAAGATTTAAGTTGTGTCAAGTTGTTGGTGCCATAGAAATATTTTAGGTAATCTTGCTTGGGTTTTAGTTCCCCTAAAGCTATAATATGTAAAATTTTGATCAGGTGATGTATTGATTTGGTGGCTATTTTTAGTGTTATTCTTGGTGTAAATGTTTTGTTTGTTTGTTTCTTTACTCAATCAAATACGTACGTAATGCAGATGATGAGTTTTCTATCAGGAGCATCCTAATATAGGGATAATGTGATGTAATTTAGTGTTGTTTTTACCAGGTTGAGTGTTTTTGAGAGATCAAGATGGTGGAGCAGGGTGTGGATGCTGATGTCTTGCTGGAGTATGTTGAATTTAAGATTTTTCCGAGTCAGGGGAGGTTAGACTTTTGTTTTCTGTTCAACTGATTTCATTCGTGATGCGATCTCATAGTTCTTACAGTGGTATCTTTAAGAGGTTTGATCAATCTTTGACACATTGTATTCTATGGTCAAAATGAAGTGGATTCTATTTTTAAGATTGACAATTCATTGATAAAGTGCAACTAATTTGAAATACCTGTTGTGTTTGTATATAGTTACTGTAGTAACACAATGCTTAATGAATTTGATATGGATGCTAATTTGGATAACAATTAACTTGTTCAACAATTTTTTTATCCTTCTTGACATAGGTATGAGACACTTATGATCTATGGAGACAAGGCAGAGGCAGCATCCTCGGGGCTTCTGAAGCAGTTAATGCTACATTCTCCCAAAATTAAATCATTGCACTCCAAAGGCTCAGATTCCTGCTTCAAATTTAAGCCTCTGGGTAATCTTAGTGATGCCAAATGGTTTACGAAATCCACGTTAATCAGGTTTATTCATACAGCATCATTTGCTTTAAACTATCCCTTCGTTCGTTCTAAGTGCTCATATTCTCACACTGCAATTCCTCCTCTTTTACAGGTTTCTTCGTATTATAAGTTCATCAGATATAATTGATGTGGCCAAGGCAATGGTAAATGAAATATCACAGCTTGAAGATGCTCGAAAGTTCCATCTTTCTTTGTACTCCAAGGTGCTTTGGGTATTTAACATTTTTTTGCTCCTTCAATTATTTCATAGAAACATGTGTCAAGCAGAATGCTAAGCTCGTTTACTTTTTTAGGGTCCTCAAGATCATACTGGGAGTGAGGAAACAGGTTACTTCTACTATTCTGTGCTTGACAATTACAAACATAAAATCGCATCATGTCCTACTCTGCTTTGAATTAAGCCTAGACTAGTTCGACTCTGTTACCTCGCATGTGATATCCTTTCTTTTTCTTCCAGCAGATGTCAGCTACTCAAATTCTACAGCACCAACAGTTGATGTAATTCGATCTCTCCTTTTTGTGAATCATCTTCTTTATTTCAGAGCTTATAGCTTATATATATATTTGAAGCTAACATGATTACTGATTTCTATTCAGCACGATGGTAACCCTTCTTCATCAGATGCTTCCAAGTATGTCCTCGGGGCTCTTTAAAGTTTATATTGTGTAGTTATTCCTGCAGCTCCTAAAATTCTCATTTGAACAGGAATGAATTATTGCGAGCAATGGACTTGAGGCTCACTGCATTAACAGAAGAATTAGCTGCTGTTTTTGACCAAGCTGTTGGCACCAACTGCTCTTTTGGGGATATCACTAACATAGAGAAGTTCTCTTATTATTTTGGAGCTATTGACTTAAGGTAAGCTAATGACTGAAAAGGCGATTGAAGCCAGAAGGTTTCTCTTTTTAAGTATATCAAATCATGCCCCCCTCTAACTATGTAACTTTTTGCACATGAATGGACATGGTATTGATCAAGCCCAACTCCCTACATTAAGGACTCAGAATCCTTAATGATGGGTTGATTAAAAATAAAATATAAAAATTATTTAGCAATTTCTACGTTTTGTCAATATTTCGGTGAACTTTTAGTTAGCATACTATTTTGAGTGATCATGTTATAATGGAAGCCACATTTACCTTTTGGTTCAATATTAACTACCAGTACAACAACAACAACATACCTCATGAGATCCCACTTGAGTGGGGTCTGGGGATGGTATAGTGTACGTAGACTTTATCACCACCTCGTGGAGATTAAGAGTTTGTTTCCGAAATATCCTTGCCTCAAGTGCATCAAACCCAAGTACGGAGAAGAAAATAATATGAAGAAAATATAGTCATTAATACCCTTGTAACAGTGCA